TGGGGTGGGGGAGGGAGAAAGGGAGGGGAGCGGAGGGGAGGGGAGAGAAAGCAACTTTCTTAGATCATCACTGTGCAGAGACAAAGGTCTCAGCTCAGACTGAACTCCAAAGGCCTCCCTACCCCAAGTGAAGTTGGCTTTCTAGGGCTTCTGGTTGGGATACAATATGAGATGCTTTTGAAGAGCTTAGTCTGCAGTAAGAAACAATACCTGCTTGCTGTTCTTACCCCTGTATCTCCAGCTTTTCAGTGTACAGGTGGACGTCTTAAGCTTACACATGATTGCCAAGTCACTGTGCTGTACCATCAGGTCCTACTTGGTAACATTCTCTTACTCTTTGGCTGTGTAATGAGTATCTGTACATACCACAAAGAGTTAAAATTGAGGTTGTTTCTCATTTTTGGACCTTGATTTTTTTTTTTAATGTTGGTTAGGATGAGGAAAGAAGGGAATTTTAGCTATTATCTGTAATGTACTCTTGTTAAAAAATAAATGTACAAAATCTGGAGCAAAATTGATAAAATATTAACATTTATTAGCTCTGAGCACATGGGTGCCTGGTCACTTTCTGAGCCTCTTCCTGGATATGAGCTAGCTGAGAACTTTGCACTATGATAAGATGCATTTTCTTGTGCAGAGCTTTGAGCACTTACGGAGCTATTTCTCCAGCATAAATGGAAACCTGGGAATATCTGGATAAACTCGTGTTAGTGAGTTCACAGAAAGTTGACGTGTCCAGTTACCATGTCTGTACCCTTATCAACAGGGGTTTACATAATTTTTAAATAGTATTTGGAACGGATAGAAAACTTTCTTTTAAAAATAGTTATGAAGCTAAACGGTGTTTGTGCTTCTTTGGCAGAAGAATGGTGTTTTGAAAAATAATTATGGAGCTAAACAAGTTTTCTATGTGTGTATTTCGATGAACTCCTCCTCCTCAGTGTCCTTTGTCCGCTCCTCCTGAGATTAGGGAGGCAGAGTTGGGGCAGACCGTGGCACTCCGCAGACCCCGGGCCTCTGCTTGTTTCCCCAGACCTGCAGTGGAAGTCGGGCCACATGGCCGAGAGCCTCACCAACATGCCGCGCCACTCCCTCTACATCATCATCGGGGCCCTCTGCGTGGCCTTCGTCCTCATGCTCATCATCCTGATCGTGGGCATCTGCCGCATCAGCCGCATCGAGTACCAGGGCTCCTCACGGCCCGCCTACGAGGAGTTCTACAACTGCCGCAGCATCGACGGCGAGTTCAGCAGCGCCCTCGCGTCCCTCCGGCATGCCAGGTGAGCTGGGGCCCTGGAGGGCGGCAGGGGACGTTGCTTTCACGCCCGCGGACTGGGTTGTGTTGTGAACAAGGTTCAGCATTCACAAAGGTTCAACATAGTCCTGAGGGGCAGATAAACAGGTCACTTTGGGAGCAAACCGTTGTAACTTGCTGCTGGCTTCCTGGACTTGTTTACGTTGTATATCTCATTTAATTTGTGTTGAACTGTGACTGTAAATATCTCATTTGTTTTTCTTTTTGGTACAGTAGATTGAACCTTTCTATTATCCTTATTCCTTTTTTTTTTTTTTTTTTTTTTT